TCCGAAGAGGAATTTTGTCCAGCGCTTATCAATGTGAAGAACTATGGGCTTCCCGTTTGAACGCGCCGGCTTTCAACACTCATTCTGCCGGTATTTTCTGCCTTCTTGCTCATGCTTGTAGCTGATCTTGGCACCCAGATACTATATAGACTGTCAAACAACATTCCTGTTTCTCCATTTGATTATGATGTCGTAAGTTTGTTCGTATATAGTGATTCCTCAGTTTGTAAACAAAGTTCAACTGGCGGACAACACTTTTCTGGATTTCCTGGAAAAAATAATCTCAAAGTAAGTTATTTGGGATCAAATCTATCCAACAGGTTTGGAAAAACCCAAAATGCACTCCAAATTTTGCCATCAACCTCGCATGCTGTGGTCCGTGTGTACATGCATCACAAGGAGGAAGCCCGCCTGCTAGATATTCTGCGTCATCGCGTTAGTTCGCATGATTATTGACTAGACAGAAGTCCGATACATGCATATTTTTAGATGAGGTATCTGCGAATTTATTGCTTTGTCGCTTTTTGACAAAGAAGGATTCGAATTCGGCTCTAAGTGTGATCTGGGAGCTCTGCCTGCAGTCTTATCTAGAGGAAAATAATCTTCGAGCTTACCTTCTATGTCATTGGCTTGAAGCCATCTCATTAGCACTGCAAACAGACGAAATTTTCACCAAAGATACAGAAGAACTTCCACAAGAGGCAGATGAAAATGAAGAGGTAGCATTTTTTAAATTCATTCTTTGATCGCATTTACATGATTGTCGACTTTATATCCACTTCGAGTTATGCAATCAAGTCCCTCAGTTTACAATAATATCTATGAAGCAAAGAATGGTGGGAAGCGCAGTGAACTATTTAAAGACCAGCAATTAGCTTTGCCGCAACCTTCCACTGCATCTTAATGTGAACTAACTTCGGTAATCCCGGTGTCTTTCACAGTAGCATGACAGAAAAAAAGTTGCGTATTTATCACGAACATGTTTTAATTTCGCATACTAATGGCTCCAAAATTACTTGCATTGAAATTTTAACGTGAATGGGTGCTAGACTGAGAACTGATGTCAACGAATTGGCGGCAGCTTTTGATTCAAGTGTAACAGGATCTTTCACAAAAATTAGTACCATCGCACCCAACAGCCGATTGCCATGGACCTTTGGAAGCCATTTTTATAATAGTTAGCCCGTTTAGTTTTAACGGAGGCCCTAGGGTCTGCCGTCCTTGTCTACTTTACCTGTAAAGAAAGACGTGCATTTTTAAATCGCGGTGGATTTTTGATAGTTAGGATGGTTGCCTTTTCACGAATAGAGGCAAAAGTTCGCATCCCAGGTGTTTGTCTAGAAGAAGTCGGAGCGTTCCGGTGAACGCTCCGACTTCTTCTAGGTTGCCTTTTCGTCATGTCAATCACACCATTGCCGGCGCTCGCATGCTAAGCACAACGTCCGGCGCCGCAGCCGATTTTGAAGCTAGGTAACGATTGTTCTATTTTCATAGCATATGAATAAAGGTATTGTCCGAAAAGCCCTCTTTTCTGGGTATTCATAGA